AAAAATTATCAATTATTTAAATGACCTTATATAGGTGCTATCTGAAAGAGAATAATTTATTCTAATATCCATCAAAATTGGAAAGTTCAGTCACTTTTATTCCTTGAGAAATCTGCAATTATTCTCAAGGTGTCCCATTTTTTACCGTTCACCCTAATACAAAGCACTGCTCCCTATTTGCCCATACCTTGGATCCTGTTCAAATGACCACCATAGTATGGAAATGAGGGCCAGCCAAAATCTCATTTGTCTCATTTTTAGCTTACAGCGGTTGTGCTCTCAGCAACTGTTGCGCAAACAAAAGAAGTCAAATCAGCTCTATCTTTTCTTTGAAAACTACAAGATTTCGGCTATCTCATTTTAGATAGTCTGTTTCCCAGAATTCTTCTTTGGAGATAAGGCACGCGCCATATTTGATCCGCTTAATCCACTTAATCCGCTTGATCCGCTTTATCATTGGTCAAATCAGTGAACTGACCAATAGTGAAGTGGGTGAAGTGGATGAAGAGTATCAAGCGGACAACCGCTTCGCTATTGCTTAGTTCAGTAAATTGTGACGAAACAGATCAAGTATGGCGAGTGCCTAAGTTAATGAGGTGTGGCACAACTCCAAAGCTGTGGCTGTCACACCTTTTTGGGGGTTCCGCCACACCCTTTATCTTACCTAGAGCATTCAAGATCAGTGTCTCCTATATCTGTGCCACTGCTAACCTTCTTCTCTATACAGTGGGAATTTCATTTGAAATCGTTCCTCCTAGAGGAAGATACAGTCGTTTTTTCTTACTTAAGCAAATGGAAAATACTGCAAAAATGTTGGGTTACGGTAAAATGCTACGTCTGCGCCACTACGTGAACTACGAGGGAACGCAGCAAGGACAACTATGTTTGATAGCCTAAACCTCGTAACTTTCACAAAAATGAGTTGAGCTTGATTAATCTTCTCTAGTCTGAGATACTGAGATTGAAAAAGGTGACAAACGAGAATTTGGTTTGCTCTTGATTTCATACTTTGGTTATTGGTTATTTGATGTGGGAGCGAAGAAGTAGTTTTGTAAGGCAAGAAATCTGTAGTTGAATCGCCTCTAAAACAAAGTTAACATGTTTGAAAATGACCATCTCGCTTGGGTGGCCCAATATCTGGGAACCTCAAAAATCGCTGAAGCTTCCACAGCAGGTTATTTGATTTGATAATTACGAAAATGATGCTCTTATGCTTTTAAGTTCTTCTTTTATGCTTAGTGTACATATGCGATGGGAGGAAAACATCACTGCGTTATTATTTTGCATAGTGCCTATCTGACATTGCTAACAAAATCATGTTATCGCTAGCATGAGTATCACTCCATAACAACCCCTCCATCCCTGACCCCTCAATACAACTCAATAGGTCACGCCACACCACACGCTTGATCCTGGTTACGAATGTGCAAAGTACTAAACGACTGATTTCGGAACGACTCAACATATAGTGAGTTTTGCTTATCGCTTATTCAGGGAGCTTCTTATTGCAGTCCCAAGATTTGCCCGTCGCTACAGATAGCTAGATGTCATTCATTTGAACAGGCTTCAAAGGGACTCATCTACCAGATACGATGCTCTCAAAAGTTAATTTTTTTGATATTTGAATGCATGTCCACCGCACCTTGCGCTGTGCATAAATGAGCATAAGGCACACTCCATAGTCGATCCAGTTTATCCACTTCATCCACTTCGCCATTGGTCAGTGAAGTGACCGATAGCAAAGTGGAACAAGTGGGTCGAGTGGATTAAGTAGATATTCGCTTCGTTAGGACTTAGCGAAAAGAATTAGTGATTCAATCATGGCGTGCTTCAAAGCAATATAGCAGAAATGCTTCTGGTAGCCTTCACTGCATTCGAGTGCTTAAACTAATGAAACGCTCGTAAAATTAGCTTTGCAATGCAAGCACAGCTTTGCACCAAAATGATAGCCTCGCTTAAGGTAAAACGTAAGATGCAATTCGGTAACTTTCGAGTAACTTTCTGCACAATGATGATTCCTAGGTTTGGCGAAACATATCATGCAGATAACGCTGCGTAATTATACCGAAGTAGTGCCAGATAAATTGTTGGACGTACGAATGTCGCATTTTATTTTCAAAAAAGAGTAAATTTAGAAGAAAGCACTGCAGGAGCAGGGCTCGGCACGAGGTGGCTAGTTGAAATTGCAAAAAACGAAGTCCCCCTTGACTTCGCCACAAAAGTACGATATCCCTCTTGACACGCTAACGAACAAATCAAACATGTAAACAAAAAGAATGAAATAGAATACAAAACCGACAATAAATAGGGAATAAGAACTAGTGATTGTTTGTATTCTCCGGGTTGGCGGCATGCTGTGTCCGCCGCGCACCACCGCGAGCTTGGAGCACCTTTGCCACTGCCATCCAGATAATTTGGAGGGCTATAACTAGGCGGGGAGGAGAGGGTTTTGGGAGGTACAAGCACTGTTTTGTAGAATATCGGATGTAGATTACTTTTATGTAAAAAATTTTGAAAAATTATGTGAAGAGCAGGAATTATATGACTTTGTTTGCGTTAAGCCACCTCAGGTGGCTATCCAGGTGGCTTGAAAGCCACCTAACCCCGAAAAAAGTTTGCCATGCCCTCAGTTCACATAATTTTTTCATAATTTTTCATACATAGTCCCAACTCCCCATTGCCTATCTACACACCTATTTTGGTGCCATTTCATCTTCACTTCGCTGTAAACAAACACTTTGTTTATTTGCTGGCGGCATGCCGGCAGCGTGCCGGCAGCAAATCGAAAGACAGCGTTATGCTCTTCCGCAAAAACGATATCCCCTTTGCTTTTTCCCCTAAAAACGGTATCCAGCTTGCTTTGCAAGCCACCTGTGCCGAGCCCTGTGCAGGAGTGCTCAAGCTTTGTGAATGCTTCAACTCTTTGTAGTAGCAAATCATGATACCCTCAGCATACTTGTATCTTGAAGGTCCAAAGCGTTCAAGATCAACTTGTCTTTGTCAGTCAAATGCAAAGCGAGCCCGCAGAACCGTTGAAGTTGCTTCATATAGTGTAGTAAAGTTCCTCCAATCGCGGTCAATCTAGAATTAGCACGAAGAGCATCAGCATCGCGAACCTCATGCGTCGCTCTTGCTTTATACTATAACACCTTAAATAGGATGCCTTTTTCTTCTCATTCCCTCCCGCTTCCGGATGCATGATGCCATGCATGATGTAGTGCACATGTGGCGCAGGGCCTCTGTTGATGTGCGGTTCCAGCCTGAGTTTTCGACTGGTAATCAGGGTAGACTGTTTACTGGTCCGAATCAAATGAAAATTCAATTGTTTTAAGAGACATTCGAATATATTCGCCGAATATTTATTCAAATTCGACCTGATTCGATAAATTGATGTTCTTTTCATGTTCTGCTGTCTTTCAATCTTGGTTACATATTTGTGCATGCTATTACTTTAGCCAGTAGCCAAGATTTTTACGAACTTTCCAATGGTTAACGTTTCGGCGATTTCGCCTTCGTCAGAACCTGGAAGGTCGAGCAATCTTTTCCCTCAGGCGTCAACGAAAGAGTCAGGGTCATATTCGAATGGTTACGGTAGGCAAACTAACCCCGTGACAACACGGCACGAGAGCTGTTGCGAACACGTCATAACAAGACAAGCTCCTCAGCTCTTTTTGTATGTGCTGAGATTCAAATCACATAAGGATTGATAAGCTGATAACTCTTGCGTTATGGCAATGCACTCTTCCTTTGCGTTCATTTTTGGATTTTTTGCGGTTATCCAAAACGCCTCTAAAGTTTTGCGGGCTAGGGTCTCAGGCTCGAATGACAGTATCCTTACTTCAATTTATAATTCTGCACCACTATGGTGCATCACGCGGTGCAAGGTGTAGATAATCTCAACTTTTGTAATCCGTCTAAGTGTTCCTTTATGCTGCAACAAAGAGGCCCTACAGTCTTTCCGACATAAATATCTCCACATGACACGCACTCTTTAAGGTAAAGTACGCCGCTAATTATAAAATCACCGCCTTTGCTGAATGGACAGATCACGCAGTTCGGGGTTAAGCACGTGCTATCGTAAGCGGACGGTATGTCAACGATTCTAACAGCGGCTGTCAGAGTTTGCAAGCTGACTCGCGAAACGCTGTCAGAGTTTGCAAGCTGATTTGCGAAACGCTACCGTACCTTAAGAAATGCCTACTACGAAATCGCGCTTACGATCGCACGTGCTTAACCCCGAACTGCGTGATTTGTCCATTCAGCAAAGTCGGTGATTTTATAATTAGCGGCATACTTAACCTTAGAGAGTGCGTGTCATGTGCAGATATTTATACTGGAGAGACTGGACGGCCTCTTTGCTGCCGCATAAAAGAACATTTAGACGGATTACAAAAGTCGAGATTATCTACACCTTTCACCGCGTGACGCACCATAGTGGTGCAGAATTCCAAATTGGAGTAAGGATACTGTCATTCGAACCTGAGACCCTAGCCCGCAAAACTTTAGAAGCGTTTTGGATAACCGCAAAAAATCCAAAATTGAATGCAAAGGAAGAGTGCATTGCCATAACGCAAGAGTTACCAGCTTGTCAATTCTTATGTGATTTGAATCTCAGCACATACAAAAAGAGCTGAGGAGCCTGTCTTGTTATGACGTGTTCGCAACAGCTCTCGTGCCGTGTTGTCACGAGGTTGGTCTGCCTACCCTAATCATTCGAATATGACCCTGACCCTTTCGTTGACGCCTGAGGAAAAAGATTGGTTTGACTCAACCCTCCAGGTTCTGAGAAGGCGAAATCGCCGAAACGTTAACCATTAAAAAGTTAATAAAAGTGTTGATATTTGTTCACCTAAAATTCGATTCTCGAATTTTATTCTGTAGTCGTTTATTCAAGAATTTCTAAATGTTGAATTTAGTCAATATTCGATCAATCGATATTCGATTAGAAATATTTTTCGACAATGGTTCGATCGAAGTTTTCAATTCCATTAGGTATTCGTTCATTCAACAAGAAATCTCGAATTTATTGAAGTATAGTAGACTGTAATCTGGTACCCCTTGCAGCGCATAATTCACACACGTTGAATAGCGCATTTTACTACCTTTGAAATGGATTAGTCCGATAATAGCAGCATAACAAGCGACCACTGACGAACTGATAATATAATTGAAAACCAGCGCAGGTCGACTAAGTTCTGGTATGAGTCCTGCAATTGTTGATTTAGGATAAGATCAGTCGCATGTAATGCGTATTCTCACCGACAGGAGGGTTGCAAAACAAAATCTCGTCATCATTTACAGCCAACCATCCCCATACAGCATGGACTACTGGGAAAAGCGAACACAGCATTACCACAACAAGAACATATACTCTTGTGCAGACTCTATGATGCCTAAATTATGATTAATTTGAAAGTTGCAAAGACCAAAGTTTTGTTGATTAGTGTAGGTTATTTTTTGCCGTAAAGTATATATTTACCAGTGGCGGTCCCAGGATTTCGGACCCGGGGGGGGGCGACAAACATTTTTTTAAAATGAAGGTGGTTTTAGCCACGCACTCCGAAAAAATTTTTGGGGTGCTTCCCAAAATTTTTGCGGGTTCCCACTCCTAAAATCTGGAAAAAGGGGGCGTGGCTTCAGCCACGCCCCCGAAAAAAACTTTTTATAAGGCTAATTTGAATTTTTAAAAAATTTTAAAAATTATTTTAACTATTTACAAAAATAAACAAGTCGTTTGCATATTTTTATAACCCTAGGCAATTTTCAAAAATTTCGCGACCCGTTCTCGGGGGAGGGGGGGGGGCGCCCCCCCCCGTCCTCCCCTCGGACCGCCACTGATATTTACTCATTATATGCGCGATGATATAAATACGTAGTGCCGCCCAGTCGTTTGACCCCGTAGCGGTTTGCAGTCTGTCTTTCGATCATACTGAGTTACAGTAAAATAATGTGACACGAATTAGATAGAGCAAATGTGGAATACTGATAAGAGAGAAGTACGAGAAAGGTTTCATCAAAAAGTTCGCCTAACAAGTGAATAAAAACCCATTCCTTTCCAAAACTTTCCAGGAAATTCATTTGTTTATCCCTTCTCCTCCTCATGGCCAGTTGCGATTTTGCTACGCTACTATCCTTTTGCTCAAACCATTTTGTACCGCGATTTCATAGTTCTCTTATGCAGGTGAACTTGCCGTAGTTATTACCATACACCAATTAGACTAGGGCGAACGAACTATTATAATGTGGTAGGTGCGATAAGTGAGCAGGCTGATTACATATTAATCATTTCTCAAACGGTCGAGCATTTGTCGATTGTGCAAAGTGAGCTGAGAAGCTGAGAGCAGGGACCGGCACAGATGTATGGAATCAAACTGGACTTCGTTTTTGGGTTAAAAACAAAGGGTATATAGTTCCTGGACGGTTCGGGGCGGAGCCCAGGAAGAAGAAGGATGTTGAACTTGTCCCGCAATCGCGAATTTTAAGTGCAAGATCCAAGCAAATAAGTGGCTAGTTTACAACGCACATACAATCAAATGATACCAAATTTGGGCTGTACACAATATTACTCCAAACTACATTATGTAAAAAGTTTCGAATGTATGTGTCCTAATGCCCGTTCCCGGGTTTGTTGGTTTCTAGACCAACATCAAACCAACTGGGGTTGGTGCGGAGCATAAATATGGAGTTTACATAAGTTTTGGACCTTTCTAATTTGGACGATGAGAACGCTTAAAGATTTAGCATAAAGTGAAGAAAGTTGATCAAATTATTGCCTTCTTTTTCTTGAACTAAAAATAGCAGAGACTTACGCATTGATAGATACCGTGCTCCAATCCATTTGTCAGACAGCGCTTTGAACTATGCGACGACAGTTGCATCGCAACATCGTTGTAAGCTACAGATTTAGTTGACTATTGGCCTAGAGGGTTTTTAACATACTAAACATCAGCAGATCCTTTGATCAAATACCTCAAAAATATTTTTCTTTGCTTTTTTGTTCTATTAACAACCTCGAAATATGCTTTTTTGCTTTTATATTGTAGTGTTGTTTGAAAAAAGGTTTTCCTATTGACTTTGAGTCAAGTAGGACTTCAAATAAATCTGCAAAGTCATGGGGAACTTCGTTTTAAAAAATGCTCCAAATCAGCGCGTGCCGGGGGCCCTGGCTGAGAATACAGAGATAGTGAACATGGGGAACTCGATGACAACAACCGCTCGGAACTAACGTTTGGGCCTAAAGTACCCCTGTAGGTCGTGGCAGCGGCGTTCAAAATAAGCACGCACAAAGTTCGTGTTGCATCGGCATCCAGCGTCTATCACTTGTCAGGAAGCCGGACGAAATCGATGGCTATCTCTAAGACGGTAGGAAGTGCTCGCCCTCATGCCGTTAGACGAACTCAGCATGAACCTAGTCACGTGCTGGGTATTAACAGAGTGAAAAAACCTTCGAGGAGTTGATCAACTTCATGCTCATCAACTCAAAGATTTCTGCAGCCCTCACCCTAACAAACTATAACATATCTATAATACAAAATACTTCATCGCTATTGTCACTTGAGTCATAGGCATACATTCTCCCCCCAATCTTACCCTCCCCCCCCCCCCCGCCGCCGAAACTCACTTCCTTTCTACACTTCTTTCATCCACCTCCTCATTTTCCTGGAGAAGTCAAGTGTTCATCAAGGTCCTACCGTTCCCATTCTCTGCAAAACCAATAATATCGCACTCTCCGTGCAAGCGCGGGAGTTCAAAAAGTGTAAACCGAAGTCTGAAAGCTTGCCTACAGCGAAGAGGAGATGATATGATACAAAAACTGGTGCTTAGGTGCGTAATGGGAAATCGGAACTTCGCACGAAAAATTATGAAAAAGTTTTGTGAACCGGAGGTGTGGCAAGTTAGGTGGTTTTTGAGCTATTTAGAGAGCCACCTAAGGTGGCTCAGAGAGAACAAAGCCACAAGTTTACCTTCAAACAATTTTTGGTTTTTACATAACTCGAGTTCACATCTAAAATACTACAAAATAATTCTTGGACCTTGATTCCCCCTCCCCCCCTCCCCCCACTCCCCGCCTAGTTACAGCCCTTCAAATATTTTGAATAACGACGGCAACGAATATTGTTCCAAGCGCATGCTGCGCAGGATACAGCATGCCGCCAATTGGAAAAAACGAACTTCATTAGCTTTTTCATTGCCTGTTCAATTGTTGTTTTCGTATTTTGCTTTATCCTTGTTTTTTATATTCAGTTCCTCATAACGGACGTCGTATTTGTCTTGAAGTCAACGGGGACTTCGTATTCGAAAAATTGCCACAGTCACCTTGTGCCGAACTCTGGCGATATCCCTTGTAATTCATAGAATATGAGTTTAACTCGACTACAGATTATGTTGAAAGTCTACTTAATCGCGTTCCCTCTCGATTAGACTATTTTCTTCTTTTCATCCTCACAGCAATCCTTTGCGCAATAATTTTTTTCTATATGCCATAATCCCCTCATTTCTTCCACCATTAGCTAGGCGCCTATCGTTCCCCTTTCGTCTTAAGAGAGGAGATTGTCTGAAGTCAAGGTTAATGATTAGCTCATATTTGCACCAACTAGAGTGGACATTGTTGGGCAACATTTCAATTTTTTATATAAGTCTTCAATACACTAGAAATTCCCTTCTTCCTTCACTACCAAATCGGTAAATTCATTTCACATAAGGCTCACAGTCGAGCACCTTACAGAACGTAGTCTCACATGTGGCCCGTACCCGCCAACCTTCAATAAGTTTTTGTCACCTCACAAATGAATTTTAACAGGGTTTTTGTATTCATTCCTTTTCCTCGGAAAGCATATGCTGAAGTTACCTCCACCTCGAACAGAAAGGATATAAACTTCCTTATAATCTTATATCAAGGCACTGCAACAAGAAACAATCTGCTGAATGTATTATTTTCCAGAGTGAGAACTTTCTAATTTGTAAGACTACACATAATTGCTATAGATTGTTGAGCCTTTGGAATTGGGAAACAGCAAGAACATTTCCTTCCAACTATGCACATAACATGCATGAAGCGTGCAGTCCTCTTGCATGCTTGACTGTACAAAAAATCGGTAGGTAGCTCGTATTTTCACAGTTTCACTCTACCAACACTGTTTCCTATGTGCCACCTAAAAAACAAGGACGCTAAAGCGAAGTGGCCTTTCAAAAAGTGCTATATATATATCATCTTAAAGCGTGAAAAGCCCAATCCATATCTGCCTCTTTATCTGCGAAGCGTTGTGAACGACGACTTAATAGCGATTACTGGAGCAAAAGATTTAAAGTGTGGGAAAAAGAAGTTTTAACATGTCGCCTAGCGCCTAAATGGGTGTCATCAAAGCACTATGCAATACCTTTGAATGGAATACATTCACACTTCGCTGCCTCAGAGCGCTAGAAAGTTAGCAATAGAGTTTATGATAACTGCGCGGTCAAATTGTCGCTCCAATAACGCTCATAACTCGTCGTTCAGAATAGCTTTACAGATAAAGAAGACAGAATCGGTAACAGCGTTTCATGTCTTCCAAGAACTTTTTTGACAAGCCACTTCGACTAACCATCCTTTCCTCATAAGATTTACAAGATGTGTCGATCGCGTTCACTCTTTTTCTAGCAGCGCCATTGCCGCGCCTTCGCGCCAAGTTCTCGCGCGTATGTTTTTTCATTGAATAATCCTCTTCGATTGAATGTTCCCACGGAAGACCGTCGCGTTGCGGAGTTTTTTCTTTGCAAAACTGAGTACGTAGATAACACAGGCTATACCTATCAAAAGATTCTGCGCCAATGTGGATCTTACGGGGCAAAAAATGCAAGCACTTGATGATGTCTGCAATCATATTCTCGAACATTATCATACTGTTCACTAAAACGGTGAATGTTAGAGTAATAAGAAAGCTTTACGGTTTATCGTCTTTTTAGCGATAGACGGCCCTTTCATAGCAAGTATCCAGTAGCCACCATGAGTGACTTGTCTGAATACGTCCCATGTTGGAAATTACCTCCCCTCCTTTTTGCTTAGCCTGTGCGGAAGTGCCCTAACAGCATTACGAATCGGCCTACACCCTTTTGGCATTTCATCGTAACAGGTCTAGCGAAGACTGGCTGTCTGCATCATTTTAGATTGTTGAAAAGTAACTCAATCGAACTTGCCATAAAGGAAATAGTAATGTTAGAAGCAGATCTAGAGAAATTGCAAAGGTCATCGACTCTTGCTGACCGATTGCGATAATGTATAGAAATATGAAAGGATAGCATTCCCTTCTTGTATAATGTCTATCTGACAAAATGAATCCTGCATTCACAAGTTCAGAAAGCAGACATATAGTATGATAAACTGCATTGATGGCTAGCAATGTACCTGAAATGTAGG